GTTAGCCCTGTTCCTTAGGTGACAGCAACTGTACACGAGTGAATTATTAGAGGGAGTGGGAGAGGGAATGCACATGAAATTAAACATGATGTACTGGAACAAGAACAGGACTTGGTTCCAGACTATACATCAGGGAACAAGAATAAGGAAAAGGCTGAGATTTCTAGAATGGGAGGCTGGAGGAATGTTGTTACCAGTGACAGAAGGATTTGCAGCTTGGGAAAGGCAGAGAACGTGTATTTCAGAATTATAAGAGGCCTATGTATTCAAAAAATTTAAAACAGAATTACCACATGATCCCGTAATTCCACTTCTGGGAATAACTAAATAATTAAAAGCAGGGTCTCAAAGAGACGTTTGTACACCCATGTTCACAGTGACATCATTCACAACAGCTAAAATGTGGAAAACAGCCCAAGTGTCCATCAATGGATGAAAGGATAAGCAAAATGTGATGTATATATACAATGGAATGTTATTCAGCCTTAAAAGGAAGGAAATTCTGACACCCGCTACAACATGGATAAACCTTGAGGACATTATGCTCAGTGAAATAAGCCAGTCACATAAGGACAGATACTGTAGGATCCCACTTGTATGAGGTACAGACAGAAAGTAGAAAGCTGGTAACCAGAGGCTGGTGGAGGGGCTTCGGGGAGTTTAATGGGTACAGAATTTTAGTGTTGCAAGATGAAAAGAGCTATTGAGATGGACGATGGTAATATATTCACAATATCATGAATATATTTAACACACTGGAGTGTACACTTAAGATAGATAGGGTGGTATATTTTATGTTATATGCATGTTAGCACAGTGTTTAAAAATGAATAAAAAGAGGCCTATGCATTATTTATTTCTTACTTTGATCTTATGAAGAACCTTGCAAATAGCTAAGGCAGGTGTAATACCTACTTTAGTCAAAACTCTTTTGATTGCAAGAGACAGAATGCAACTAAAGTAGAAGATTAGGAGACAGAGAATTTGAGAGTGTAGATACCTCAGGGACGAGTGGGTCCAGACCTCAGATGACATCACTGGGACCTTCCTAGTCATGTCTCTGCTTCATTTTAAGTCTAGAACCCTCCACCCCGGCTGAAGATCGGGTTCTCCAGGTAGGGAGGATGCACAGAGCAGCTCCACCCTCCAAGGGAGGCCACCACTCGGCACCCGTTTATAGGGTCTTGGTAAATACAACTTCTTGACTCACATGCCCAAAACCTGGGCCGTCACTGGCCGACAGGACAGAATATGGCCGCGGCCAGGCAGGCCAGAGCAGTGCATTTGCAGTGAGGAGGGGGGGCCAGGATTCCGGCCCCCAGCACAGGATGAATGGACTGGCCAGACACCGCAAGACCACATAACCCCATTTTAGTTGTACAGATTGGAAACTGCAGCTCAAAAAAGTTATTTGTCAAAACCTATGCAATAGTAAAATGGCTAATAATGCAAATGAGGCACGCCTTGCCTTTTGTGATCCTAATTCTTTCGGACCCCCCGTCTTTCCAGCTTTAGTTTGTGACAGATGCCGGTAAGGATTTTGAGATATCTAAAGAAATTAGCCGCTTTATAGTGATGAGAGCGGCATAATTAACAGCAGTGTAACAAAGAGCACTTCATTTCTAGGGAGCTAGAGGGGTTCAAACCCAGCCCTGCCACCTGGTGGGACCCTGGTACCAAAGTAGCTTAGCGTGAGCGTGGAGCTAAACACTAAGCAAGCAAACAGTAAGAGAAACACGGGAAGTGCCAGGCACAGAGCTCACCTGCCACGAGCACTGCACTGACCACGCCCGGGGACTTCTCATTCCTTCCATCGGGAAGCCTCTCAACAAGGCGAACTCGTGAGACTTAACACCCACACTCAGGCATGAGTCAAAGACGGGACCTGATTGACGCTAGTGGGCCATCGAGGCGGGACAGGAGCCGAGGACTGTTGTCTCTCACAGGGACAGCCCGGACGTGGGGTGTGGGATCGAGGCCTGGCTGTGTCCGCTCTGGCAGCACTGCCCCTGTGTTTCGTGGGGACGTGGATTTGGTGTCTGATGGAGTTTCCAACATGAATTGTCTACGGCCCTGCCCAGACCCTCCTCTTCAGAAGGCGCAGGGCAGGTGTGGGTAAACCGTCTTAGACTCTGTGTCTCATCTCTATTTTTCTTGAAAGTTACGCTCTTGGTACAGCTATGAGTATCCTACTCTTTTAAACCTCAGAGGATTAGGGGTTAATCCCCTTCCCCCAGCTTTTTGTGAGTCTGAGCTTGATGTGTTTTTTAATGAATGATTTTAACGACTCTAGTGCTTTGAGAACTTCAAATTACAAATGTCACCTGTGTTTCTCTCATTTCACCAGTGACTGCTTCATAGCTACATTCTCTTTGCTGGGCACCTTTAACGATTTAGGTATTGTTAAATACCTAAATATAATGACTTAGGTATTGTTAAATACCTAAATAAAATGATTTAGGTATTTAGGTATTAAATAAATTTGGTGTTCCTGGTTTATTTCATCTTAGCATTCTGAAAATAAGAGTCTCAATGACAAGATGTCAAGACTACCCAGATGAATTGTGTAATAACTGTGAAACAAGCTGTAAAGAGCCCACAAAGAAAATACAGAATACATGGTATCACTAAATCTGCAGAGCTGGCCCCAGAACAAATCCACTACTAAGGTGAGTTGATGTGGCGATGGGGTGTGTGGTGTTGGGAAGGATCTGTGCTCTGTGGAAGAAAAGCTTACTTTAACTTAGTTAAATTTCATTCTTTTGAGCTGATCATGACATGTTACATTGCCTGCTTCTAAGTTGCAGACAGACATCAGGAGACAAATGAAATTTTCTAAGATAATCAGAGTGAGGATGGCTTTTCCCTTCACCATGTGGCAAATAAGGGGCCAGGGGAGAATTCCGATGGTGGAAGCCACTTTACATCATAAACAGAACACAGAGAAACTATTACAGGTAACTCACAATGCTCTTTTCCAATTATGCCCAAACCTCAAAAGATTTATTTCATTCACTATCTATTTCCATAAAGACAGGACCAGAGTGATATACAAGTTTATTAACACAATCTGCATTGTGAACAGTACCTCCTGGAGTTATATGAAATGGAAAACCTGCAGGAAGAGCTTCTTCAAAATGCAGATTGAAATGCAAATCCAACTGTTAGAGAAAATACCACTGTGTAGCCTGACGGCAATTATTTCCCTTCAAATGAGGTTTGCATGTCAGCAGGAAAGACTGGGGGAGAGAGGATGTCTGATAAATGACAGGGGAGTGTGCTCCACACCGGGCCTCTCTAACAGTCTACTTCCACCTAATTTATTAGGCTTCATGAGGTTATACCTGAAGCACCTCTGTTTTAATCTTAGAAAAGCTGATATTCAATTTGGCATGGTGTTTGTGATGGGAACTGGTGTGGAGACTTTGAAGAGCTTCTCTGGGGTGATTCAGACTCCTGAGATGGGAAATCTTGTCTACGGGTGACAGATTACGTGAATTATAATAAAAACAGCAGAATATTGAATAAGAGTATTTTAATTGCGCAGCACAAGTTTTTAAACTGAGAGTACACGGAAGTACAGTACATCATTCCTTTCTTTCTTCACTCAGTAATGGGATACCTTTTTCTTGTCTGTACACATTTAACATAAATAACAACGCTTTCTTGTAAGGCGTTCAGCTAACCCAGAGGCAGCATAAAGACCTCATAAACATTTCGATTTCTATCAGTGAAGAAAGTCTAGTAATAACCGCAAGACCACTGGCATATGGAGCAGATGGTAATGCTCTCCAGAGCCATTTACGTTTGCAGCAAAACAAAACAAAAAACACAAAGAACTCTGTTATAATTTCTACTGAATTATTAAAACACAAAGAGAAAACACTGATGTTGGGTGTGAAAAATCTTTTTTTTTTTTTTTTTTTTTTGCGGTAGGCGGGCCTCTCACTGTTGTGGCCTCTCCCATTGCGGAGCAATGGCTCCGGACGCGCAGGCTCAGCGGCCATGGCTCACGGGCGCAGCCGCTCCGCGGCATGTGGGATCTTCCCGGACCGGGGCACGAACCTGTGTCCCCTGCATCGGCAGGCAGACTCTCAACCACTGCGCCACCAGGGAAGCCCAGAGTGTGAGAAATCTTGACAGATGTCAGTCTATGCCCCGTGGACCAGTAACTGATACTCAAAATTTGGTCAAACGTTCATTATTTAACACATCACAGAAAACAAATGTTACACTCAAATTATTAACTCAGGAACATTTAATAAAGGGACTATTTACAGATTTGTGTTCACAATTAAGAAAACCAACCAGGAGGGATGGTGAAGCCCCCAGAAGCAGTTAACACCCTTACATCTGACGAGCAGGGAGCTGCAGCCATCTGGGTGTCTGTAGACCAGCAGGAGGGAGGGGGGGCTGACACATACCTCCCTGTGTGAACCTGAGCAGAAACCCTAGGAAGCAGTTGTGCACTTCCTCTGGGCATGCAGAGCAGAAAAAGGAGAATGGGTGTGGTGACGTGCACAGATCCATAACACAGACAGCTTCCATCGTGCAGTTGCTATAAACACAAGTCATCCCGAGCCCCTGTCTCAGACGACACGGTCTGTTCAACTATTTTTTACAGATTCACACTTAAGTGCTATCGTAGTCATACACTTTACTTCTAAATAGATCATAACCCCAAGTATGTTGTCATTACTTTGGTTTTAAGCAGTCCATTAACTTTTTGAAAGATTTTTAAATGAGAAAAAAAATCTTTCATATTCACCCACACATTCACCATTTCCAGAGTGTTCTTTTCTTGCTGACCCCAAACTTTCTTCAGTGTTTCCTTACGGCAGGAACTCTCTCTGATTTTGTTTCTTTGAAGTCTTTTTTGCTTTCACTTTTGGAAGATGTTTTTGACAGGCAACCGAACTCCAGGTTGCAGGGGTTTCTTTTATATCTTTCATAATTTAATGATGTCACTCTGCTGTCTTTTAGTTTGCATAGTTTCTGACCAGAAGTATGTTGTTATTCTTTGTTCTGTGAACGTGTTGTGTCTTTTTCTCCAGACATTTTACAATCGTTCTCTTTAACACCGGTTTTCATCAATTTGACGATGATGTCCATTGGCATCTTTATGTTTCTTACGTGTTGGGTCCTTTGAGCTTATTGAATATGTCGAGTTATACTTTTCATCATATGTGGATATTTTTCAGCCATCGTTTATCCAAATCCTTTTTCTCCCTCCTCTATTTCTGGACCTCCCATTCCATGTATGTTACACCACAGTAACTAATTCCCTGTTCTCCTTTCCCCCCAGTCTTTTTCTCTCTGTGTGTAACATTCACCTGGATAATTTTTATACTTACTGTTCAAATTCATTGATTGTTTTCCTTCTTCTATGTCTAATATGTTCTTAATTCCATCCAGTTTTTTTTTTTAATTTACAGATGTTGTTTTCATCCTGAGAAGTTCCATTTGAGCTTTTAAAAATATATCTTCCACTCATGTGTCGTCAAATTCATGTTTTCCTCTACTTTATACTTACAATAGCTATTTGAACATCCTTGTCTACTAATTCCAATCACTTCAGTCTTTTCTCTTTCTACTGCCTGATTTTCCTTCTGGTTACAAGTCATATGTTCCTGCCCCTTGGTATGCCAGGTAAGTGTTTGGACGTCAGTCACTGTGGGTAGAGTAGCTTTTAATCTAGGGTTAGTTACCCTCCCCACCAAGACAATATTGTTCTGGGAACTCTCTTGATGCCCACGTGCTTTCGTATGGCTGGTGGGAATGTGAACTGTCCCTGCCTGCGCTGAGCTCCAGGGCTCGCCCAGCTCACTGCTCCCCAGTGCCACTCTCATGGTCTCAGCTTCCTTCCACACACGTGTGAGTCAGCACTAAAGCCCACAGACTCAAGGGGGGACTCATTGCGGATTTCTGCAGGCCCTCTCTGGGAAGCTCCTTCCTATCCAGCACTTTTCCCTGCAAATTCTAGCCACCAGGGCTCCCCAGACGCCAACTCGGCAACTCTCTTCAGTCCAGCAGGACCACGTTAATTCCCCTCCCTGAACTGCAGCCTGGATGCTGCCCCCAGGGTCTAGGCTGGGCAGTCGTGGGGCTCTCCTCACCTTGTCCACCTCCTGCCAGGGATCACAAACCTGTGTTTGACATATGTCTAAAAAACCACTATTTCATAAATGGTACGGTTTCTAGCTGCTTAAGGCAGGAGAGTTTATCTGGTTCTTCCTATAGCACCATAGCAGAAAGCAGAAGTTTTCACACATAAAACACAGCTACCACTCTAAAATGCCTATTTTCTTATAATAATTTATATACAATGTACACATCTTCCTTTTAGAATTATTTTAATAGGATCATGCTTATCAAATTCTTCAAATTATTAGAACTACTCCTCTGCATGAGATCTCTAATATATAATACTCAGTATTTCCTTTGTGTATGTATTCTCTAGTGTACTCTGAGTTACCCTTTCCCAGTGAAATCTTTCACTTACTTGTTATAACAATTGAGTTTTTCTCCTGTTTAAGTCTTCTAAGTATTTAACAGGCTGTCACTTTTGACTGAAAGGTCTGTACTTATCACAGTACTGATAAGACTTCCACACTGAGGAACCATCAATATGTAATAAGTTTTGTTTTCTGGGAGAAGGCTTTCCTATATTGCCTACTTAAAAAAAGTTCTCTTTCTGAATTCTGTATGGTGCGACAGTCACTGCAGTGACAGGGTTTCTCTCCTGTACGTGTCCTTGGAGTGTGAGGGGCCTGACACCTGATGGCAGACTCCCCATACTCACCGCACTCGCCCTGTGTCTACAGCATATGACTTCTCTGATGTATCAGGAGCTGTGCCTTCCTGTGGAAGGTCGTCCCACATTCACTGCATCTATAGCATTTATCTCCTGTATGGATCCTCTGATGCCTCATAAGGTGCGACTTTCTAGTGAAAGATTTCCCACATTCCCCACATTTATAGGGTCTCTCTCCTGTATGAATCCTCTGATGTATAATGAGCTGCGCCTTCTCAAAGAAAGCTTTTGTACAATCACTGCATCCATAGGTCTTCTCTCCTGTATGATTTCTCTGATGCTTAATGAGCTGTACTTTCTGAACAAATGCCTTCCCACACTCACTGCATTCATAGGGTTTCTCCCCTGTATGAATTCTCTGATGCCTAAGAAGCTGTGGCTTCCAGGCAAAAGCTTTCCTACACTCACTACATTCGAAGGGTTTCTCTCCAGTGTGGGTTCTCTGATGGTGAATGAGGCTTGACTTCTCACTGAAGGCTTTCCCACACTCGCTGCACTCATAGGGTTTCTCCCCTGTGTGTGTCCTCTGATGAGATACCAGGCTGGACTTTTGGGTGAAGGCCTTCCCACAGGCACCGCATTCATAAGGTTTCTCTCCGGTGTGAGTTCTCTGATGTGTCAGGAGCTGTGACTTCCCAAAGAAGGTTTTTCCACATTCAACACATCCATAGGGTTTTTCTCCTAAATGAGCTTTCTGATGTCTAATTAGTTCTGACTTCTTAAAGAAGGCTTCTTCACAGTTCCTGCACTGATAGTTCTTCTCTCCTGTGTGAGTCATTTGATGTTTGACAAGTTGCGGTTTTCTGATGAAGGCTTCACCACATTCACTGCATTCATAGGGCTTCTCTCCTGTGTGGATCCTATGATGCCTAATGAGGAGTGAGTTCCTGCTGAAGGCTTTTTTACACTCACTACATGCATACGGTTTCTTCCCTGTATGAACCCTCTGATGAGTAATAAGCTGTGACTTCCAAAAGAAGGCTTTTCCGCAATCACTACATTTGTAGGGCTTCTCCCCTGTGTGTGTCCTCTGATGTGTAATGAGCCTTATTTTCTGGGAGAAGGCCTTCCCACAGTCATTGCAGCCATAGGGCTTCTCTACTGTGTGGGTTCTCTGATGCCTTTGAAGCTGTGACTTCCTACTAAAGGACTTCCCACAGTCACTGCAGCCATAGGGCTTCTCTCCCGTATGAGTTCTCTGATGTAAAACGAGCAGTGACTTCCTGCTGAAAGCTTTTTGACATTCACCACACCCATATGGCTTTTCTCCTGAATGAGTCCTTTGATGAATAGTGAGTAATGACTTCTGGGAGAAGGCTTTCCCACAGTCATGGCATCCGTAGGGCTTCTCTCCTGTATGAGTTCTCTGATGTATAATGAGCTGTGACTTTTTGTTAAAAACCTTACCACATTCCATGCATAAACAGACTCCTGTATGTGCTATTTGGTTTGTAATGAGCCCTGGCTCTTTACTGCTGACTTTTCTACATTTACTGCAATCAGAGTATTTTATTCCACCACAGGTTTTGTCAGGCTTGATACAGAATAGTAATTTCTTATCAAGCTCATCAAGTTTTTTTCTTTCACAGTTACTTTTTGGAATAAGAAAATCAAAAGGATGTTTCAAACTTTTTTCACCTGTGCCACATTTATGGGATCTCATTCCTAAATGATCAAAGTTAATGCCTGAATGAAACATTTTCCCAAAGACGTCATATTCATGGCCTCTCTCCATACTTTTAAGCTTGTCTTGATTATCCTGGTGCCACATTTTGAGATTATTATCTAGCCAGACTTCTTCTAAAAAGGAAAAAATGAACCATACTGTGTAAATTTCCCCAATGATTATGCTTATTGAATAAATCTTCTGAAATGGAGCCTAAGATCCCAGTCCATAAAAAAAAAAAAAATTCTCCCAAATACAATGTCTACTTATTAGGCATTGAGAATTTTAATAGAAATGAAAACAGATTTTGAAATTACAAATGTTTATAAACACAAGTTTCAAATAAGGAAAGATGAAATATACTCAAGTGATCATGATGAGGTAAAAGAGACAAGCAATTTCTGGGGGTGGTTAAGCACTCACTCCACAATAACCTACTGATCATCTACTGTGTGCCCAGACGCTGTGAGTAGCAGAAATCAGGGAGGAAGGCAGGTAAGTACCCCCATCAGAGAAGGCTGAGAATCACAGTACACAGAAGAGCAAGATTAGTACACAGTGCTGAACGTCAGGCAGGAAGAAACACTGAATATGATGCACAGCAAATGCAGGATATCAACTTCATGTCTGAAAGGTGAGGTACGTCAGTTTGCTGTACTATTGGTACATTAAAAAAACATTCTCATTCAAGATCCTCACCCGAATCACTGATATCAGTAATTTTACCATCATGAGAGTTACTTTTTGGAATTATCCAAGAGTTCTCCAGAGCTCAACATCAACACTTGTATTTAGGTTTTTGACATTTTAGTTGAATCGATCATCTATATATTGCATCTGTATATGATGGAAATTATTCTAAACCACAAGTATTCTTTGCATAACATTAGGACAGATTTTTTTTTTTTTTACCCTGTAAGTACAATTATTTGTGATCTCCACAATATGACCATTTATTTATGTTTAGTTCACGATATTCTTTACTAGGAATTGTGAGGTAATACTCCCAAGATGAAAGATATGGCAAGATCTCAGATGTAAGGCTATCACTCCTTTTCTGCAGGATAATATTTTTTTGGGGAAAAAAAGCCACATCTAACTCTCAGACATACCAGAATTTCAGAGGAAGAACCAACTAGAGCCCGATACGGAGGAGAACAAAGGATTCAACGATCCGAGCTTCAGTGAGTGTGGATGATAATGCTATTCGTGGGTATTTTAAAGACTAGAGAGAGAAGTTAGGGGGTTAAAAACAAAGTCGTCTGTAGACACAGAAGTGTGAGATCCACCTGAATAGTTTACAAAAAATTGTTTCAGGAAATGTTAAAGAAAAATTACAAATTTTAATTCAAGTCAAATCAGGAAATAAGATTAAGATATATATTCAAATTAATAAGTTAAATGATATAAAACAATATTGAAGTTAAACTGTACCAAAAAATCTTTAAGAAATTTTTAAAAAGTCTTGTCACTTTGGCAAACACGTGGACCGGGTTTCACTGGTGCCACCTCAGGTGCGGGTACACATGTGTTTCCCCGTCTCTGTTTCCATTACACTCCTATCCTTTCTGCCTTAATTTCACCCTATTTTCAATTGATATTCCCACTTCTAGGCTTGCTCCCTCCCAACTCTAGTCTCCACACAGCAACACGTAATATTTAGAAAATGTACTCAGGCCTTTTAACCCTTTGCTTAGAAACCTTTGATAAACCCAGACGTTTATCACGGCTTCCGCACCCCCGTGTGCCGGCTCCTTCCAGCCCCCACTCCCTCTCATAACACTGGGCTCCTCCCCATCCCAAACCCCAAAGGCCTTTTCCTGCTGTAGGCCCTTTGCATGTGCTCTCCCTGCCCAGCTTCCAGCATTCCTGGCTGACATTATTTTAAGGGCACACTAACAAACACCCTGTTTATTCCCTTCATAGCATGTATCAAATAGGTAATCACCTTGTTTCTGTCTCTCGCACTAGAATGTAAACCCTGAGGGCAGGGAACAGGTTTGTATTTTTCACTGAGGTACCCCCACTACATAGCGCATAACCAGCCCTCAATACATGTAGGATAAATACTCCTCACTTGTCATAAAAATTCTAAAGCAATTCCTTTCTATACAGTTAATCTTGAGAATTAACTTTGCATTTTGACACAAATGCTTCATGTTCAAACACTGAATTAGTTTTATATTTTCTTCTAAATTAAAATTCTCTGGTCCTGCAAGGTTATTTCATGACTCATATTTTATCTCAACTCCTCTCATTCCACAAAATAGCAGTGGTTCTAAATTAATGGGGGAACATAAAGTCTATCTTGACAGCTTTTCTAAACTACACATACCCAGTCCTAATAATCCGCGTGAATGGCGCCTAGACATCTGTAATTTGAAGTATTTCCTAAGGTACGCTGAAACACTTACTTAGACGAAAACCTTTGTACTAAAGAAATATTTGATAAATAAGAAAGCTCCTGCCATACCTGGCCTCACAACAACCAATTAATGAAGTATTTAGTAATTACACAGCATGAATTCCATACAGAACAGAGAAGAGTAAGTTACTCACCATCTATGTAGGAAAAAACCTTAAGACCTAATTGGTTAAGGAATTACAGATAATGTGTGATCACACCCGAGTTTCTACAATACTGCTCAGTGGGTAGAGATTTCAGAAAAGGCTGGGAGTCAGGGAACACTCCCTGGAGGTGGAAAAAGAGCTTAAAGTGAAGAAGGGGAGGGTGTCTAAATGGGAAAGTGTAGGACAACCAAAGGCCCACATGCAGAGAAACAAACGTGAAAGACACGAGGAAAGAACTACTTTGAGTGGCGTCAACCAGGACCTCTGGGCACAGGAAAAACTGCAGAGATAAGATGCTGCCACACCGTGAGGGTCTTCAACACAAATGGCGTTAAAGTATCACAGAGCAGGTCTTAAACCCAGCAGACTATTTGAAGGGATAAATGAGAAGCTTTATAAGCTGAATACCAAAGGCACCAGAAAGAAGCCCTGGACACTGACCCTGAAGCTCTTATCTGCAGGGAGGCCAGAAGAGTGCTTAAGGCGTTAGACTTTTCTCCTGTATCCATGGACTCACCTTCTGCTCTATGTGGGTTTGAAATAGAAATCTGACCAATTAGGCAGAGAAAAGAAAATTAATAAAGGAAACTCAAAGGCAATCAGTGTCACCTCAAACAGGAAAAAACTATGAATTCTTAAAGAGGAGGAAGGAAGCCCACATGTACAGGTGGGACTGGGGAAGCTAGCAAAAGGGGCGTATCCAAGAAGGCAGGTCCTAAATGACTGTGCTGCCGGGTACGGAAGACGGGGCACACTTCATCACCAGCTCCGTCAAAGGGGATGCATCCTGACACGGAGACCAGGATGGAGAGCACATGAAAAGTCAGGAAGGACTTGTGTCACTAGTCCTGAGTCAACTCTAAGGACGGAGGAACTTTAAACACGGTTTTACAGATAACATTGCAAAAGTACCAGCCTGTCATCAAAACCCGAGACCTAACTTTCACTACCTGCCATATACCTGATTATTTCTCACCTGGAAAGTTCTGACTTAGGATTTCTTCACCTAATATCCATGGCTCTTCTTGCTCCAGTTTGAAAATCACCTCAGGTTTGATCATTTGATAACCTGTCAATTGGAAACACAGAGAGTCCCAACTGCTTAGGCTGAGGGACTCTTAAATATAAAGAAGATTTCACTACAGAGGCTAAAAAACAAAACAAGCAAATAAAAACCTTTCAACTGGGTGTAGCAATCAAAAAATCCTTTGACATCTGAAACTTAAATCCGAAATCCGTAATATCTTAGGGGCCCCACAGTTGCTGGGTGCGCCCTGTGTCACACAAGAATGTTCTTACCCAAGAAGACTAGGTTGCTGTAGTTCTCCAGCGTCACATCCCTGTACAAGGTCTTCTGGGTAGGATCAAGCAGCTGCCACTCCTCCAACGTGAAGTCCACAGCCACATCCTCAAACGATACCTAAAAGAGCATAGTGCCTGTTAAATCGGAAGACATTCTCTTTGTTGAACACAGGCTTTCTTCTCTACAGTGACAGGTGGCCTCCGAGTTGGCCCCATGGTCTCCAACTCCTGGGGTTCATGCTTTCGTTTAATCCCCACCATCCTGACTATGGGCTGGACTTACTGACTCACTTCCACTGAATGGAACAGGGTAGAAGTGCTGGATCAGGTGTAAGAGAATGTGACCTCCACGTTGCGAACCCTCTCCTGCTCTCCCTGGGCCACATGGCGAGGCAGCCCTGTGCCCAAGCCCACGTGGCAAAGACCTGAGGCCTGCCAACACCCACGTGAGTGAGCTTGGAGGGGGTCACCTCCCTACCACCCCGTGAGATGACCACAGCCCTTCTCAACATCCTGATGACAGGGCCGCATGAGACCTTCCACCAGAACCAAATGGGTGAGCAGCTGTCAGACCCCTAACTCACAGAAACTGAGATACATGTTTGTGTTTTCAGCCACTGAGATTTGGGGTAATTTGTTACATAGCAATGGGTAAGTAATATAATATCCTAGTCGTGCATTATACTTTGAGAGGAAAACAAAAATGTTATTAAAATATTCATCATTATGAATTCATTCACCTATCCACCCATCTACCCATAGAATAAGAAGTTGGAATAGGCTGTCTTTAAATAAGCAGTGTTCCTCAAAGAAGGTGCCACTGGTATCTGGGCAAAGGACAAGACACCACAGAGACCGATACTGTCCCAGGCTGGGCCCACGTACGTGTGCTGCCGTGTCGTCAGAAGGTGCCGAAACAGCGCAGAAAGCTGTCCTGCCTTCCAGACGCTGGACGAGACCCAAAACACTGCCCAGGGACAGGCTCCCGTGCCAGCGGGCCACGATGCTCTCAACACGTGGACCTCACTGGTCCTCTGGTCCCAACCAGAGGGTTTCACTGGACACTGACACTTTCTTGGGGTCTGGTCTGGCCATCCTCATGGGCTCCCCAGGCACGGGTCACACTCTCCAGGCCTTACCTGACCACATTTACTTCCTGTTCGAATTCACTCCATCTGATAATAGTCCTGTATTTGCAGAGGGGCTGAGTGAGCGTTTTAATGGACAGTTTGAGGACAGGCTTAAGGGGTTGACAGGAAGGCTCATGGCGACCCCAGCCTGGAGCACAGAGCTCAGAAGGGAGCGGCCCTTTGCACGGTGCCGGGGCTCGGCCAGGCTGCCCCCAGTCACAGCCCTCCTCTCACAGTCACTGACCCGTCATGTTCTGCGGAAGACCCCGTGGGAGCCTCCACCCCTACGACCCCGTCCTGAAGACTCAGTGACTGCCAGATCCTGTACATCCACTTTCAAATCTTTTAAAAACTCAGGAGTTTCTGCTAAGCAATTCTTAAATGCACTCTATCTCTCTGGTTAAATTATGTAAAAATATCTGTCCCTCTGTATAGGGACAACGTGTCTTTCCAGACAAAGGGTCTGGATGAAAACGGAGATGATTTCTTTTAAAGTTTTGATTACTAAATGGGACACACTGATGATGACCAGAGAGACAGGAAAATAAAGCCCAGCACCAGGGGAGGCACAGGGGAGGGAGAAAGACATTAACGACCTTTGTGTTCTAGACCTACTCCTGAAAACTTTCCTTCCTCCTGGAAAAAAAACAAGAAACAAAAGAAAATGACTCGCTGTGCTTCTCTCCGCGCCCGTGACTGCTCTGCGTGTAGACCGACGCCTGCCTGCTCGACGGGGCTGCCGGCCAGCAGCACAGGGCGCCTCAGCCCCCGTGCTTCCCACGCAACAGCCCGATGCCGTCTGCACCCCATGAGGTGGCAGGGCCCGGACAAACCAAATGGCCTGGAACTCAGCGCCCCAGGCAGCCCCTCGGAAACCAAGGACTGAAGTAAATTAATCAGACTGGGCAACGGAAAGCCACGCTGGGGCCGTTAGCCTAACTGCCTGATGAAAGCACGTGCCGCCTGGAGGCTCTGGGACTGTGCTTCTGGTGTGCACGCCCAGCCGTGTGACCCCGGTGTCTCAGCCCTGGCAGGCGTTCAGGCCAGCCTCCGCCTGCTGCCAGAGCTGTGCTATGCGGACCACTGCCTTGTGCCAGGTCACAAAGGTTCACACGGCCACTTGAGAAGCCTCCTGATGGGCTGACACATGCCTTCCTGATTGGGAAACGGCTGAGACCACATGCAGGCTGAGAGGCTGCCCCGGATGAACTCCCTGGTTCCTGTCTCGGCCCCTCTAGGTCCGACCTGTTCAGGTCCATGATGGGGTTGCCTGTTTCTCACTCAGGTCCTGAAACATCAAGCGGATGGGCTGAGGAGTCTGGCTCCTGGTTAAAAACCTACATGTGAACCTTCAGGTCCAAACACAGGCAGGCCCAAAGGGTTACCCCGCAGGGCTCCTGGGGGACACTGTCCCTACCCCTGCCCCCAGAACTGGGGCGCAGCCTGCGTGCCATGGCCTCCAAGGGGCCGGTGAGGATCTCGTGTGCCCTGCGTCTCTGCCTGAGGCCTTTGGCAGAAGCCTTTCTCAGGTGCCTCTCTAAGACCCCCTTGTGAGAGGGGGGACCTGAAGACACTGTCTGCACTCTGACCCGGTACCCTGTACTTTCCACTCCCTCCCCCTCTTCCCCTCCTCCTGGCCCCCAAGTCCACAAATCTGCCGGAGCCTCTTGTTCGGGGCTCCTTGGGCAGCGAACACCTGTGTTGACACACCTGGCACGTGGCCAGGGCGCTGTTCACTCCTCAGGAAAAGGTGATGGGGAGTCGGCGCCTTCTGCGGCGTCCGGCTCTCACTCGTGCCATCACTCTTGGCTACTGTCACCCCGGCTGCGCCGTCACCAGCTGCTCTGACGCCTGGCAGCTCAGCCCTCTCAGCTCTGCTGAGCTCCTGGCACAGAACACAGCAGCGAAGGGGAAAAGCTACAGTGCTGCGCGCTGCTGTAAACAACAGGATTTTTAAAAGAAAGAAAGGAACAGAGGAAGGGAAAGAGGGAGGAGGTCAGCTAGGTGGATGGGAATTGTTTTCAAGGTGAAGGGAGGGATTACCCTGGTGGCGCAGTGGCTAAGAATCTGCCTGCCAATGCAGGGGACACGGGTTTGAGCCCTGGTCTGGGAAGATCCCACATGCTGCGGAGCAGCTAAGCCCTTACACCACAACTACTGAGCCTGTGCTCTAGAGCCCGTGAGCCGCAACTACTGAGCCCGTGTGCCACAACTACTGAAGCCCGCGTGCCTAGAGCCCGTGTTCTGCAAAAAGAGAAGCCCATGCACCGCAACCAAGAGTAGACCCCGCTCACTGCAACTAGAGAAAGCCCACACGCAGCAACGAAGACCCAATGCAGCCAAAAAATTAATTAATTTAAAAAAAAAAAAAAGAAGAAGAAAAGTGAAGGGACACTGCAGTCGTATCTTGAGTCAATAAAGTCGGGGCGGTGGGGGGAGGGATGAATTAGGAGGTTGGGACTAGCAGGTGCAAACTATTATATCTCGAATGGATAAACAACAAGGCCCTACTGTAGAGCACAGGGAACTATATCTAATCTCCTGGGATAAACCGTAATGGAAAAGAATATGAAAAACAATGTATGTATATTTATATATATAACTGAACCACTTTGCTGTACAGCAGAAACTAACACAACATTGTAAATCAACTATACATCAAAAAAAGGTCAGGAAAAGGAACTGAAGGCAGATACCCTCCTGTGCAGCAGAAGCAAAAACAGTTCTACCTAAAATGTATCGAAATTCCAACTGAGGGAATATATATGGGGCCATTTGAAGGTTTTGTAGCAATCAGTTGTGCCGGATGATTCAGGTTTCTTCCCTAAACCCAGAGCTCAGGTGGGACACGGACCCAGGCCTGCTGCCCATTGCTGTGCTCTTTACACCCGCGCCCACCGAGGACCTGCGAGGAGCAGCCTCAGAAATGTGTTCATCCATTACAGGATGTCATCTCCCACGTCATCTACATCAACAGCTAGTAAAACGCTTTCTTTACAGAAAACCATCAGGAGATGTTTGCTCCCACCGAGCAAATGGTCTGCTTTTTGACAGAGGAAACCATGCAACTCTTCCTGTTTCTCTTTCTGTGGCGGCTTCTGGGAACATGTGAGGAAGCTTGCGGCTCAACTCCAACAGTGCAGGGCCTTAATTCTCTTATATCTGTGCCCCAGCTTGAAGACTTTTGTATGATTCTGTGATCCACCTTGTACTTCTTTTGACATCTTCCTTCCCAAGGTTAGATTTTCTCTGGTTACAATTTAAATGTATTTAGCCCTTTCCTGTTAGTTGTAGAGATGCCTGTGAGCCTCATCACACCCACAGATAAAACCGCTAGAGGACAAATAACTCACCTGTGACTTGACCATTCTCCCCCGGTCCTGGGAAATCTGCTCTGCTCTGTCCTGATGCTCTGGAAAAAGGCCTCTGGTCAAAGGTCTGTGGACTGGGAATGCACCCCGAGTCCTGAGGCCTCTTCTTTCTTATTTCACATGAGTTTTCGTGCTCCTGAGGGCCATGGCCTGGAGGTGCAGTGGGAATTTTATTTTAGATGATGTAATTCATTTGGGGACCTCAATCTTGGTTCTCTATAGCTGGGAACTCAGACAGGCTATGTGCTAGCACTAAGAAACAGGATAGAAAGTGAGCTACTGGCATGTGTCAGCCGAGCCGACCGCAGCCAGGCCAGGCCTGCACCACACACCTGGGAATGCCCGACGGGAGCCACCTGCCTCACTGGTTCAACCAAAGACCCCAGGGGAGCCCCACCACCTCAAAGCACTCTGCAGAGACGGCAACAAAGTCTGGAAATACAGTCTTGGCTCACTCACCCTGCAGCACCTTTTCCCGGGGGCACTTAGATGAAACCACTGGCACAGGTACTACAGAATAAAACGCCACTCACTTCTAGGCAGGACAGGGAACGGGCAATGGGCTGGGGTGCTGGCTCTCTACTCCAAAATCAGCCCTGGAGCAAAAGGAAAGCATAGATCAGAGGAACTAAAAGAAATGGCCAAAAGAAGAGGAGAGACCTCGGGGGAGATGGAGGCCGCGGTGAAGCTGACGCTCGGGTGTGGGTTTCTGGCTGAGCCGGCCGCGCTACAGCCCAGAGCAGACGCAGTGAGAAGAGAGGCCTAAGGAAATCTTTTCAGTTCTTTCTTTCTCAGCTCACATTGGCGCAAATACTGCCTTCCCTTCCCTCGGAAATCAGCAGAACAGCCTAGGCCACGGTAGAAGGCAGCTCAAAATCCCTGCTGAGTTTAGGAATCACAGAAACGGCAAGGGCCCAGGCACTTGTCTCCCACCGCCCCATGGACCCCAAGGAAACTGCTCCACACCTGCTTCTTCCTAAGGGTCTCTGATCCCTGATCGGAGGAACTGCTCAGACAAGTGGTGGGTACGGGGCTATCCAGTGGCTGTAAGGTCCACACTGCTGGCCCTGGGGCCCCTTCCCTTCCCTTTACTTCGAAGGCCTGGCCTCAGCCCTTCCCTAATGCAATTATCAGAGTAGGAAAGCAGATAACACCTCTAGGGGGATACAGCTCAGAGCCTGTGAGGGCAAATACAAATTAAAAAGAAAAAGACTCCCCAGAACCTTATTCAAAGAGTATTTACTGTAGAAAATTACAAAGTCTTTCTCTGCCCCTTTGGGATGTAGGTTAATCTTTCCTAAAACTAAGTTTAACAACTCAAGAATGCCTTTCTTAAGGACATGGGAGCCGTCTCCGAAATCATCCAGGAAGGTACACCCCTCTCTCTGGGTCTCTGGGAGGACAGGAGCCTAACCAGCCTGACTTTGGCACCTGGCTCCAAATTGTAAAATTACCCCCCATCATAAAGGTACGACAAGTGTATTTTTCCTTTGGATGAAGGCAAGTAGCCAACACAGTAGCCACCCCCACTACCAGGCAAGGTTAGGATGGACTACATGTGACAAACGATCACTTATCTTGAGACCGTGTGTATAACGGCTTGTACCTGCCCAGCTACAGAAAAGGGCACGATCTCTTCCTGTCTCTCGCAATGTCTTTAGCAGACTGCCTGAGGTGGGCATCAAATTCTGGTTCAATTTTTATTCAATAATAAAACTATTCTAAGGGACTTCCCTGGTGGTCCAGTGGTTAAGACTCCATGCTTTCACTGCAGGGGGCACGGGTTCGATCCCTGGTCAGGGAACTAAGAACCTGCATGCCACGCGTGCAGCCAAAAAAAATTTTTTTTAATTAAAAAAAAATTAAGAAACAACCACCACCTATTCTTTCTCTTCTACTTTTGTGGAAAAGTCTTCTGGATTGGCAGAGACTGGTTGAAATTATTTCCCCAATGAGCCAAATAACCAAATAAATGAGTACAACCACTACTTTAAAAACTTTTTAAAAGATCACAAACTGTATTACAGAGATCACCTGAGGCAGAATTATCAGAACAGACGGACCAATAGTTAAGATCAGCACAGTCACAAAAAACATGACGCCTTCATGCACACAAATACTTACACTTTCAATGTCTCCACCGCTGTGGAGTGAACCAGGCACTTACACCAGCCGGATACCGGATCAGGGTCAAGGACTCCACGGGCTCACAGCAGGGTCACGCAGGGATGTGACTTCCTTCATGAGGGTACACCTGAAAGGAAATATCCAAAAATACAGTTACTGGTAAGCCTGGGGGCCCGAGGGACAAACTCCACCTCCCACCCGAGATGCCTAGCGCTGCGGTCCACACCTGTGGCAACTTGTTCTCCCGGCTTGGTCCCCACAGGTGGACAGGCTGAGAGGAAGGCCGACATGGTGGATGGCCAGTGGGCACCCTTCTGCGAAGTAAGCTGAGCAAGGAGAGAACGTAATAGCTACAGGAGATCTAGAGCAGGAGCCCCTTGTTCTAACAAAGAACGGGGGAGAGGAGGGAGGTATCCTCAGGGTCCCAGTGGAACAAAGAGAGATGGGCGGACTCATCCTCCACAAATGCGGGAAGCAAGTTGCGCCCTGGCGTTAGCAGACTGCCAGGCTTTGCTCCCGGGCGCCTAACGAGAATGGGGAGAACACTGCCCCCTTTGAGGCCCTTCCTGCCCACCCCTAGAGCTGGGCTGAGGGCTGGAATCAGACCACCCGCTCGGGAGCCCCACACCCTCAGCCAGCAAGGGAAAGAGGAAAGGAAACCCAGGAATGCTACTCAACGCCAGGTGGACCACGGACCAGCTCCTGGCACCGTCTCTCAAGGGCCTTAAACATCTCCCTCTTCGTCCTTTAACGAATCGAGGGAGGACACAGGCCAGGGAGGGAGGGCAGGTCCCAATGCTCCCCAGGTGCTGAGGATCCTTTGGAGAGTCAAGAACCAGCCCATCTGGACAGACAGGCTGGATTTTGAAGTTTGACGTGAAACAGTGGCAGAGGGCAGAGCGAGGGCGTCCAGGGCAGGAAGAACTCCACAAGTGGGAATGGAGAAGGATGGCATGCGTTCTGCCCACGCGTGGGGGGCAGCAGACACAAAGGTCAGATTCCCTGAGTGAGACCGGACTCTCCTGAGACCAGGGTGAAGAGTGTGGTGCATGAGAACAGGTGTCTCACGAAAAACGTCCTGGGAGAGCAGAGAGCGACACCCAAAGGAGAAGCGCCTCTTCCCGAGATGCACAGGGAGCTCCCTGGAGCTCCTGGGCACGGGCAGGTCCCGATGGTCTAGGAGGCCCAGTGAAAAGAGAGCCCAGAGTCACTGCTTTCCAAACCTGAGGCCCCCTGAGACACAGGCCCACCTGCCCTGGAAGCTTCTATCTTGTCTGGACCCCTTTTGGGTTGATGCACAGGAGACCTTCTGTAGCTTCTCCTCTGGAAAAGGGGACGTGCCAACTGTACTAACACCCCGAACAGTCACCCTGGTTCCTCCCCCAGGACCCCAACATACTCCTGCACTGTGCTCTCACATCCACGTCAGATCCCACTCACACACTAATGCAGACCTAGACACACACTCACAGTCTCGTTTACGGGCCAGGAAAGCAGCAATTTGCTGAAGGCTTCTTACTACCAGGCCCTGTTCCGGGCACGTGGGAGAGACCACTAAACAGGACAGACAGTCCCTGCCCTCTAGGATGGGAAACAGACACACAAGTAAGTAAAATAATTTCAGACTGTGAGAGCGCGCAGAAGAAACTTCAGATGCGCCAGAGGAGTGGGTGGGTGGAGGGCACTCCTTGCAGATGACTTTGAGCCGAGCTCTGAGGAGGCGGGGCCGGCCCCGGAAGGCTACAGGCCAGCCACGCCCGGCAACGAGCATCAACACAAAGGGCTGGAGCAAGGGGGGGGACTCCTAGCCGGTGGGGTCTCTGAGTACTTTTCAACAAGGCAATATTCAAGTAAAAGGAGCCATCACTGACCAACACAGCCGTGTACACGCCGGGTGAGAGGGGCCAAAGAACAAAGGACAACACGGTTACTGAACAGAAGTCACCACGTTGTCTTGCCTGAGCCAACGAAGGACTCACCCAAACCCCAAAACACCGCCCTTAAAGGCCCTGCAATCACCAACACCCAAAGCCCCTCAAATGCGGTTCCAAAGACCGCCTCAATCACACTGACTGACCCCCCCGAGAACCCGCAGCCCCCAGATCACTGGACACACGAGTCTCCAGGACACACAACCATTGACTCCATAAAGCCCATGTGCCCAATGCCCCCCCAGGGGATCTGGGCCATCAATTACACACACTGTGAGTCCCCATCGGCTCCTCTAGCAAGGCCCCCCCCATCACCAACCACCAGTGACAAAACCAATCCACAGAAGTGTGTGAATCAAAGAACCCCAAAGTCTCTCCACAGCCAACCCACGATCAGACACCCACAGAACCCCTGACTCCCGGTCACGGTGGGCTCTCCGTCACTCAGCCCCGCGCACCAGCCACAGGCCGCCTTACAGACCACCTGGTTGATTACGACCCCAGAGCCATCTGACCTCCACAGGCTTCTCAATGCCAAGGCCAAGAAGCCCCATCACTGGCTCCTCCAAACCCCACTCGATAACATCCACGGTCTATCCACTGACTAGACACTGAGTCAGTGGAACCCCAAATGCTGAGTCCCAAAGGACCCCCAGAGAACTCCAACCCCTCCCTCTCGCGATGCCCTCCCACTCACCTTCACAGAGCCCGCCACCACCCGCCCCCTAAACCAGGCCCTCATCACACGGGGCTGCCAGCCACTCACCTCCAGATACCCACTCTCCAGTCCACGCCATGCTCACCCACCACTCAGACGCCCCCAGAGCTCATCACCCTGCGAGGGCCCCCAGCTCCTCACAAACACCCCCGGCCCCTCCAACGGTGCCAATTACCACCCCCACTTCCCCCTCACAGCCCCCAACAGGCCACTCGTCAACCTGTGTGCAGACCCCTGCCACTGACACGCGGTCTCCGACCTGATGCCTCAGCCACAAGATCCCCAAACACGGGCCGCCCCGGTCACTGCCCTCCACCGAAAAAGCTACCACCGAACTGTCAAGTCAAACCAAACATAGACGTAGCAAAGAAATGTTTTACTCCGAGGATTTATTCTTGGGTGGGGGGGGAGGGATGCTGGAAGAGGAAGGACGCTACGGCCCTAAGACGCACAGCATCTCTGCAGAGTGTGGGGAAGCTGGATCAAAGGGCGGGGGACCAGACAGCAGACGAGAGGACATCTCACCGGAGGTCGGCCAGTTCTGGGCGCAGCGGCGGGCTACAAGCTGCTCAAGCCTACCGCCCAGAGTTCAGGGAACTGCAGGAAGGAGAGAAGCTGAACCAAATTTGGTTTCTAAGCGCTCTGATCAGTGAGAACAAACAGTTCAGCTAATCATTGATGAGGCAAAAGATGAGAGGGGCTGCGTCATATTTACCTACGGCCTTGTCACAGGTAAACAAGGGCATCATGTGGGAAGGGGGTTCTTTGCAGCCAGCTGTTTCCCGGAACCCGAGCGGGGGGTGGGGGGGGTCTTCCCAGGAGCACACGGCTCAGGTACAGTCCAACACTGCAGCAACCAGCAGCCCCTCCTGCCGACGAATTCCTCAGTGCAACCACTCTGGGCCCTCTACATGCCCCCCACGCGCCCACAGAGGCTCGTCGTTCATCCCTTCGCGCCCAGTCGCCAAGCCAAAAGCACGCAAATCGTGGATGGCTAGAACCTTAACTATTGCTGCACACAGACCCGAACCCACATCCCCAGGGCACACGGCGGCCCCGCACAGCCCTCCACTCACTCCCGAGGGGAGCCTCCGGGCTCCCTCACCCCCAGGGCCTGCTGCCTCCAGCCCCCGAGGCTAAGGTCCCCCCAAAGGCCCCTCCCAGAGGCCCCCACCATCCACTTAATTCCCTCCGCCGGCTTCACAACCACTCACCCCTCCCTGGCCCCGAATTACCGATTTTCACAGACATTCCACTACCTCGCCCGCCAAGTGTCCCCAGCTTCATCAGCCCCACCGTCTCCCCGCACAGCTTCTCCTCTCCCACCACCACGGGAGGCCCTGCCCTGCCCCCCAAATCTCCCTCCTGCTTCCCACATCACTGCCGCCCACACCCGCCCCTCCAGACCCCTGTCCCCCAGGCGTTTCCCCACCGTCGCCCTCCCTCCCGCCTCCCCGCTGCCCGGCCGCCCCGCGGCCCCCGCGGCCCCTCCCCTCTGCCGCCCCACGCCCCTCCCCCACAGCGCCCCCCGACCTGGACCGGAATCGGCGCCTGCGCGGCAGGGCCGTCCTCTCGCGCCTTCCCCGCACCCGGCTTCGGGAGCCGGTTCGTGCGCACGCCGGCTTAGCCCCGAGCCGGTCCGCGCCGGGGTCACCGCGGCCCCGGTCGGACGCTGAGGCCACCGCCAGCCCGCAGCCCCGCCGTCCCGTCCCCGCCCCCCACACCCTTACCCCTTTGGCCCACGGCGCCGAGGCGGACACGGCCGGGCCGCGGGAGTGTCCGCGCAGAACTACATTTCCCGGAGCCCCGTTCGCTTTAGAACTACATTTCCCAGAGGGCTCCGCGGCACGCCTCACTGATGGACAGGGGTGAGGTTTCCTGGTGCCAACCTCTTTGCGGCTGCCTGGGGCTCCCGGTTCAGACGGTGGGATGTAGCCTGCGCTCCCCCCCACCCCTCAATGTGCTCCAGTTTTGATCATAGAGAAAAGTAATTTATAAAATCAAAGTAGTAATATAGGTACGTTTTATCCAGTCCAACAGTACTAACAAAAAGAATGAAAATAAATGAAATGAGGGATTTGGGGAGAAATAAAATGTAATTATGGGAAGAGAAGTAAATTAAAGAATATAAAAGCAGAATATAAAAGGAATTAAAATAGAAAAAACTAAACTTGATAAATCCAATTTTTAAAATAAAATATAAAATCATACTAGAGATTTTTATCAAAAAGTGAGAAGAAACAGCAAAAACAATTGGTAATGAAAAAAGAAAATGAGCCAAAAAGAACAAATTAAAATATTTGTGAAGGAATATTTTGCTCAATTATATGTAATCTAGGAACTATCTTAATAAATTTAGAACTTAATGAAGTACGTGATTTAAAGGAATAGTTAGGTAATTAACTTAAGAAAATAATATCTTTTTAGACCTAGAGTGATGGTTAAAAATGTTTTAGTGGGCTTCCTTGGTGGCACAGTGGTTAAGAATCCACCTGCCAATGCAGGGGACACAGGTTCGAGCCCTGGTCCAGGAGGATCCCACATGCTACGGAGCAACTAAGCCCGTGTGCCACAACTACTGAGTCTGCGCTGTAGAGCCTGCGAACCACAACTACTGAAGCCCGCGGGCCTAGAGCCTATGCTCTGCAACAAGAGAAGCCACCACAATGAGAAGCCCGTGCACCGCAACGAAGAGTAGCCCCTGCTTGCCGCAACTAGAGAAAGCCCGTGCGCAGCAACGAAGACCCAATGCAGCCAAAAATAAAATAAAATAAATTTTTAAAAAAAGTTCTTAGCTACAGACTCATACGTTTTCCTTGGTGAATCCTCCACATTATCAAGGAGTATAATCTTACCAAACAATTTCTAGAAAAATCTAGACCGAACCCTTTTCTTAACACAAAGATAGCAAAATAGTTATACCATAACCAAAAGTAAATTTAAAAAAACAAACTGTAAAGCAGTTTCAGTTATATTCATGTGAAAAATTTAAAAAAATAGTAAATAGAATCAAGCAATACATTTAAAAACATATATCATAAACAAGTAGAAGTCATTGCAGGACTTTTCACCATATCAGTAGATTAAAGGGGGAAACATGCATCATCATCTAATTAAATACTGAAAAATCTTTAAATAAATTCAACCTAGAATGTCCATTAAAAAACAAAAGCACACAGGGCTTCCCTGGTAGCGCAGTGGTTGAGAGTCCGCCTGCCGATACAGGGGACACGAGTTCGTGCCCCAGTCCAGGAAGATCCCACATGTCACGGAGAATGTCCTAGAATGTCCATTAAAAATAAAAAAGCACACAGAAGTGTTAAGATACTACTACCACAACATGTGAAAATAAATGTCTCATAAATGGATAATGGTATAAGAAGTATTATCATTAGAAATCATAAAACTATCACCAATATTGTTTTCTTAAACTGAGAATATTTTAAAAATACACGAAAGTATAGAGAATGAGATCATAAACAGTCAAATGATCAGATATTCATATTTGGTAATATGAATATTACCAAATATTTGGTAATATTTGATTCAGATCCTTCTTTAATCAAAAAAAAAATTAAAACACTGTATATTCAGTTGCTGTTCTCTGAGCCTTTAGTCTCTTTCTTCCTATTACCATTCCTCTTGGGGCAATCATTGCAATGAGTGTGCTGTGTAGCCTGCCATTCCATGTATACTTTTACTACACGCAGACTGTGTTTATCATATGTCATACATTTTATGTCTTAACTTTACATGAACGGTATTGTTAACAAACTCAACATTAAATCTCCAGGTTGTTGATCCTGGTCTCAAGTAAAGACTTCTCATTCTTTTTTTGTTTTGTTTTGTTTTTTAATATTTATTTGTTTATTTGGCTGTGCCGGTTTCTTAGTTGTGGCATGCGGGATCTAGTTCCCTGACCAGGGATGGAACCTGGGCCCCCTGCATTGGGAGCGTGGAGTCTTAACCACTGGACCACCAGGGAAGTCCCAAGACTTGTCATTCTTAAATAACTGGGAAACAGTACCAGCTGGAGGCCTCACACTGAAGGGTGTTAGGAAATTTTCAGAAGCAGATGACTGCATGAAGTGGACAACTTCTGCTCAAGATCAACAGAACAAGATGACCTGAGCACTTAGGTATGTACTTCATCCCCTTTGTCAGTGAAAGTTTAGAGTGTTTACTGCTGCTAGTTACATCTTTTTTTTTTTTAAGTATTTTTATTTTTATTAAGGTATGTGCTTTTTTTTTTTTGCGGTTCGCAGGCCTCTCACCGCTGTGGCCTCTCCAGCTGCAGAGCACAGGCCCCGGACGCGCAGGCTCCGGACGCGCAGGTTCAACGCCCATGGCTCACGGGCCCAGCTGCTCCGCGGCATGTGGGATCCTCCCGGACCGGGGCACGAACCCGCGTCCCCTGCATCGGCAGGCGGACTCCCAACCACTGCGCCAGCAGGGAAGCCCCTCTAGTTACATCTTAACTATGATACCCTGTAGAGTCTCGATCTTGACGACCTTGACATTGTTCTTTGCGCCTCCATCACTCTTTGTAATGAGCCCAACACCTGGTTACAATTTGTTGATGATATGGTGAAAATTATTAATTTTGTATTCATTTTTCACCTAGCTTCCTTTGGTGCTAATTTATTGTGATAAATCAGTTGATTTCCTAAGTAAGTTGGATCAACTACGTAGTGCCTTTTTAAGTGGCAAAGAAGGTTTGGTTTTGTGTTTTAAGTAAGCAATTTAGTTAGCACTCCTACAACTGGTTCTTTTTTTTTTAATGTGCTAATCTTTTTTTTTTTTTGAAGATGTTGGGGGTAGGAATTTATTAATTTACTTATTGATTATGGCTGTGTTGGGTCTTCATTTCTGTGCGAGGGCTTTCTCTAGTTGTGGCAAGCGGGGGCCCCTCTTCATCGCGGTGCGTGGGCCTCTCACTATCGCGGCCTCTCTTGTTGCGGAGCACAGGCTCCAGGCGCGCAGGCTCAGTAGTTGTGGCTCACAGGCCCAGTTGCTCCTCGGCATGTGGGATCTTCCCAGACCAGGGCTCGAACCCGCGTCCCCTGCATTAGCAGGCAGATTCTCAACCACTGTGCCACCAGGGAAGCCCCAACTGGTTCTTTTTTACAAATTTATTTATTTTATTTATTTTTGGCTGTGTTGGGTCTTCGTTGCTGTGCGCAGGCTTTCTCTAGTTGTGGCGAGCGGGGGCTACTCTTCGTTGCGGTGTGTGGACTTCTCATCATGGTGGAGCAGGGGCTGTAGGCACACGGGCTTTTATTGCGGAGCATGGGCTGTAGGCACACGGGCTCAGTAGTTGTGGCTCCCAGGCTCTAGAGCACAGGTTTCAGTAGCTTTGGTGCATGGGCTCAGTAGTTGTGGCACACGGGCTTAGTTGCTCCGTGGCACGTAGGATCTTCCTGGACCAGGGCTCGAACCCGTGTCCCCTGCACTGGCAGGCATATTCTTAACCACTGTGCCACCAGGGAAGTCCCCCTAGTTCTTTTTAAAAGCGGACTTTGTAACAATAGACTGATTTTTCTGCAAAATCTTATCTCAGAGGCTTACTGCCTTGTGTGTTGTCATGGGTGCTCTGGTGTGCGACCCAGAACCTCCTTAAGGACTGAGACACTGATCCCTCCAGCTACCAATTGTGGTGCCTTCTAAGAGGCCACAAATGAGTCCCTCTCAAGAAATTGCCCTCAGCTGAAGGAGCTGCCTCACCCAAGATTAGCCTCCTCCTTGGGGACAGCCTGTATCCAACAACTGGTCAATATAGGGGTACAAAGTCCCCACCCCTTTGCCTCAATTTTGGATATATCTGAAGGGCCCGCTTCAGAGGCCTTTGCAGGGTTAGCTGAGGCCTCCTTTGTAAATGGATCTCTGTTCAAATTTCCCTTCCTTCCAGTCCTGCTTCCCTCATTCCCTTACAAACCACCTGCTCATAAACCTCCATTACAAAGTCTGCTTCCTGCAAAACTCAAGCTGCTACCTGTGTACACTTCTTGTTCCAGTTAGTTTATAAGCGTTTGTTAGAGAAATACATTTGTCTCATCTTTTGCTGAGTCCCTTAGTATTAAAGTCCTAGGCTTATATAGTAGATTTCCCACACACACAAAATAAAAGCACAGAAGGAGAATGGAAGATCAGGGAAGCTGAGACTGAGAAGAAATTATTATGAAAAAGACAATTTTAAAAATGGAGAAATAATTTTTCTAGGCACCTTCCATATAAATAAACCAATCAATTCAATATCTAAAGAGAAACTACTGTTTCCAAAACGGGGAGCAAAATAAATAGGAGCACTTTCTTACCCGAAGCTTAGAATTTAAGTAGAGAAAAAAATAAAGATATACAAGGAGGAAACAAAGAATGATATGTGATATGAAAGCCATAGGAGTAATTTACATGGTTCAAAT